ATTGTTGTTTTGACGAGACTATTAAAAATTCTTTATTTTTTAAGTCTATTCGAATGATCTGAACCTTGCATGCTTTTATTTCATTTATTAAGATTACATGCTTGGTTGGGTATTTTTATTTAATTAAAAATCAAACACTGTAATCAGTGTTTATTTTTCAGTTAAACTTTACTGTGCGGATGCCGCACAATTTGGAAACTTTTCTGTGTGGCAAATAAAGAAAATCTATAAGCAACTGTGCGCGCATACGCACATCTGTTCGAGGTGTGCGCAAAGTTTTGATTCTGTGCGCTGCGCACAGTCCGCACAAATAATCACTGATCCTTATTATATCTTATATGCTTATTCTGTTATTATTATATTGTATTTATCTCTTTTATCTCTCTTATTTATTATATATCTAATGTATTATCTCTAGTACATAGAATGGTTATTAGCTTCGAAGATCCGTAGCTAACAACATGCATAAATAACCTCAAATTTCCCCCGAATCGACGGTGAACAATCAATGCTTCCATTCAAAATATTAATAAAAAGTAATCGTGTCTTTATACATGAGTAACTCAAGGTTTTATTAATAAATTGTTATACGCCTACTTGTATCTTCATATGCTTTAGTCGTTTGCATCTTTCGAAAACTAGCCTTAATAAATCTTCTTTGTTAAGTCGTATATTCGACGCTATAACTAATCCCTCAAATCACTATATTTTATAGTCTCCATACCGTCCCTTGAATTCTATTAAGAGGTGAATTTCAAGTGTGACAACTAGAGATGGGTTTCATGCGCATTAATGCGCATTCATGTGCATGTTATTATAATATGCGCATTTCCCCATCACTAGTGACAACGGACACGCTAAATTCCTAAAGTCGTAGCTAAGTGCTAAGATTTTTACGTAAATGCTAATTACGTATTAACATGATCACTATAATGTAGATGCACTAAAATTTTTAAAATGTATATTAGCACCTGGAATTCAATAAAGTACATTAACAGGAGGAAACGTCATGTTACACGATTGATCCTTCACCAGGTGTGCAACATAAAAAAAATTTATTTTACAATACCAGATCATTCCGCTAGTAAATGTACTAGCGGAATTATCTTGTATAGTAAAATATTTTTTTTATATGTTGCGCACCAGGTGAAGGATCAATCGACTAACATCGACGTTCCACTATAAGTATATTCATAAGAAATGAATTTTAACGGTAAAAGAAACTTTAACGGCGAAAAAAAGACGGGTTTAAGGTGAGGAGATGAATTTGACGTGAAGTTTTATTGATTTTGAAGTTCAGTTTAATAGATGCGTCATACGGTTGATGTGTTGTCATGTAATAATCAAATAGTAATTTGGGTTTTCAACTTTGGCCCAATTTCAAAAATGTGCCCGAATATATCCACCGTCAATAATATCAATTATAAGAAAAAACAATAGACATTTATATTTATCTAAATTATTCAGTGAATTCGACTTGTAAATTTAATAAACTTATTGATTCGGTTTATTAAGATTCGAATTTAAGTATAATAAATGAATCAAGTATTGTCATTCACGATACTTCTTGTGGAAACTGGAGTAAAGCGTAAAACTATCATCGTTATAATCATCTCTCATAGTTTACTCAGATCATCATCATTATTCTTAAGACTATCACCCTTAATACCATCACCCGCAATCACATCACATTAACTCATTTCCATCACCTGCTGATATCAAAGTATTTACTTATAGCGTCACATCCTCAAATTGGTCTTCTAACAGTTATAAAAGATCCACTGAAGCTCACTAACATTGCTTCGTAACCGTTGAAGATAAATTGGATTATCTTCTATACTGCTTTACCCGTACCAAATTAAGTCATATTGGTGCTGAAATTTAGGTTTATCATTGATTATGAAGTTACATACTATTTGTTGAATTTTTTATGGATTTTAATTTTTTTTTACTAACAATGCTGAAATTTTTAAATTTTTATACAGCAAAAAAATAATAATAATAAAAATAAATTTCATGTGATTAGATGACGCGCACCAATATCAAATTTTTAGTTAGTTTGTTATTAATAATTTCTACATTAAATTTTCCGATGCTTTATGCTTATAAAGAACCATTGGCAAAATTATGGAAGGTAAATAATACGAAAATACCTACACTATTGCGTCATGAAAAGAATTTAATGATAGTAGATAAACTCCTACAGCCATTTCTAGAAAAACATAGCACAAGTTTTGGTGGAACTTTCATAAACGTACCAAAGAATAGAATAATTATTAATGTAGTAGGCAAAGTAAACAAAACTATGAAGGATATCATAAAGTCTACAGTGCGATCTTATAGACATAGACCTAAATTGGTTTATAGAAAAGTAAACAATTCCTTGGCAGCATTAAGATACACGTTTGATCAAGTATCAAATCTAGCTGAAAGATTTAAACCCTTGGATATTACTTGTTACATTAATATAAAATTAAATTATGTCGTTTTACAATCATTCCCATCACATGATAAACAAAATGGAATGTTTTTTGATGCCGTCAAACAAATTAGACAATACAACGAAACCATACATTTTAGTCGATCTGATGGTATTCAATCTTCTGATATTAAAGTAGATAGTATGAAGATAGATAATATAAACACATCAATCTTAGGCGGAGATGGATTATATAATAAACAAGACCATAGGACATGTTCATTGGGTTTATGGGCTAAATCAAATGACTTAAAATCCGATTATTTTGTAACTGCAGGACATTGTTCTAACAGCAATAATACCTCGTTTTACTATTATCCATGGAATACAACTGGGCATAGCACTTATATTGGGTATATGAGATTTTGGAGAACTCACCCACTCGATGTTGGTTTAATCCTTATAAATAACGATAAAATTATCAACTTTATCAATACAACAATGAATTCGACAATAATTATAAGAAATACTGATTCTAAAAAAAATAAATTATTGATTTCTTATAATGACGTAGCTGTATCCAGTCACGGTGCTCATATATGTAAGTCTGGCCACACTACACATGTTACTTGTGGACATGTACTTGGATTCAACGGATTTTTTACAAATTTGAAAAAAGAACTCAAGTCTCCAATAACCTTTTCAACCGCGATATCTGGTCACGGTGACAGTGGAGGGACTGTATTTTCTTATAACCAAGATTTCAAACATGTGCACATAAATGGCATACATATGACGGGTAATCCCCAAGGATATTTGCCAGCAGAAATAATTGTTAGAAATTTTAATTTGAAGCTTATGTGGAATTACTTGTTAAATTAAATGAACTATTAATAGATAGTCTTTTAATATTACGTAGTTATTTTTCTAAGAACCATCAATATTGGGGTGTTAGTTTGAAATTTAGTCTATATTGTTAAAATTGTCTTTGTTTATATTTATCGCTTATTTTGAAATAATATCTTGTTTATTTTTTTCTCTTAAATTAATATCATAGTTTATTAAAATAATTACTAATTATAAATTAAATGTTAAGCATCCTAGGAGGATATTTAGATTATATTCATAATATCCAACTTTAATAACCATGGGTAACTATAATATAATAGTAAATTTTATATAAACTATAACACGACAGATTCTTTAATTAACTTTTGAATGACTTAATTCATAAGGTAATAAAAACCATGTTGAATTAAATCCATCGGCATCTTGTCAGTACAAGAATGTCATGTATCTGCATTAGCTTATGTACTAATTGAGCTGGAGCGGAAAGGAAGTTTACTTTTAAGAATTTAGACGATGTCTGGCTCTCTACCTGCAGGTATTATAAATTTTAGGCTGCCTCTCTAGAATTTTAATCGGCAATATTGAAGACATCGGTATGGGTAAATCCAGCATTACGTACGTATCATATACGTAAAAAGAAAATTATAACAATAATTAATAATCAAATGCATTGTTATAATTTTCTTTTTAGGTTTCGCTTAACAACTGTAGCACAGCTATATCAATAGAAATCAAGTAGATTGGCATTTTAAGAAAAATCAACACATCAACTTTCATGACTCATATCTCGGAAATTTTGAAATATAATTGAATGATTTAATATGTAAAAGAAGATTATGATCTAGATTTTCTTTTGATTGTTGATCATTAAAATTTTTTCAAAAATGTCAATCTGCTTAATTTATATTGATGGTAGCCATATAACCTACTGACCATCTAAATTTAATATAACTATGTCACTCTATGAATTAATATGATCTGTTTTTTCTTCTCGCACTTCTTAATTGCATTTCTATTTTGTATTTCTAAATTATATTTTCTATTATACTAATAAAACTAATATAAAGGTTAAACCTCTTATGTAAAACAATGCAGATAATTAATAGTTATCGTGCAAACTCTTATGATCATAGATTTTTTTCCTGTTTTTTTTTTACGTTATTACGTAAGTACAACATCCTGAATTAAAACTCGACTTGTAAATCATGGTCATAATTGCACAACATTGGATTATTCGACGATAAATACCGCAAAATTTGTTCTGTCAAAGCAAATCTTTGGCTAAATTTGCCGCTACTAATGCTTGTAGTCGACTTAAGTCGGCCGATCTAGTCGATAAACCACCTCGTGATCGACTTAATCAGTTGACTAAACAATTTCGTGCTTTAATTAGACTATTATTCGTGATAAATTTTAATTTTATTGGTTAATGAATATTGTTCACGAAAAGATTACGCATGATAAATTATTGATCTGAAAATATTTTAAATGCAAGCTTCTAAACGATCTAGTCAACTAAGTCGATATGTTTCAATGACTTACTTGAAGTGTAATTAGTCGATCGACTTCAATCACTAGCCGCTAAGCGGCCAGTCATTTGCTCCGGTACACAAAACGTCGATATTAATCGTTGCATGATCAATATCTTATTGGATGCGAAGCAGTCAATAAGTATAATTACTAAATTTACACGCATGAGTTCACTTTATTGTTTATACTGTCCATGACTATAGGTTTCGTTTATCTGTTTAACCAACAGATCTATACTATCATAATAACCTTGGATATAATAAGCTGCAAAACTTTATATGGGAACTTTGCTAGGAAAATCACTCTTCGACATTTTCCAATCTGGTCATTCACATGTAAATCTTTTTTGCCTTTATTGATTCAATAGCTTATTGATAAAACTTTTGAATCAATAATTAACATGCAAGTATGTATCGATATGTTAGTTTAATTTCGTCTAAATTAGCCCGATCGGAAAATGTCAAAGGGTAATTTGCCTAGCAATTATTCCATATATTAGATATCTATATTGAAAGTAGGATAGGTTCAACAAAATCTGATTTTTTTATACAATATTATTTAGATTGTCAGAAGCGAAATGACAGAAACACACACACACCAACAGACGGAATAATGCGACGAATAGTCGCTTGAGAATCGTTGACGTCGCGTAACGTTACTCGAGAGTGAGAGTGAGGCGGATACGACTTGGCACGGGCTAAGGCGACTATCGAGTTCGTTACGAGTAAGTAAATAGGCTTTAAAGAGCGTTTGATTTCGATTGGTCTTTATTTTGAGTTTTATATTGAATGGATGTTATTTTATTACGTAGAGCGTTGATTCTATCTTTTATAAGAGAAATTACCGTATTTGTAAGAAATTACAGGGAAGTAAATGGTGGTTTTTTGGAACAATTCACTATCGCATGCAGGTTTTCCCTTCTTACTTAGCTTTACTCCCACGGCTTTCGTGATTATAGATTTTTTCGAAGCTGCTGGCGTTACGGTTTTACCTGTGACAAGATCCATTCGTTTTTTATACTTAAAAATGTGACCTCCCAGCAAAAGGAGGGGATGGGGCAAAAAAATTTTTTTTAAAAAAATTTAATATCTGAAGAATTAGATTGATTAGAATAAAAATTAGCATAATAAAATTTTTAATTTTTTGGCCCATCTCTTTTTGCTGTGGGGTCCAAAATGTAATTTTAACACCAATTTACCCTTATAATTTATTTGGATTGGTGTTTTTTGAATAAAAGAAAGACTAAGTAAACCTTTCCTAAAAAAAGGTAAAATGAAACGAAAGGATAAAAGATTTTAAAAGGAAAAAAAAGGTAAATTTCGAAGCTCACGGAATTTTTTTTTATAAGACTGGAATTCTAGAACTTTTAAGCTGTTATTTATTATTTTTAAGTTATCTACCAGTTGAAAAATAACAGATCAGTTTTGACGTCTAAATTAATATTAACAATTTTCTGCAATAACTTTTGAAATCCTTGAAATATACAAAGCGTGAAATATGGTAAAAATATTTTTTAAAAAAATCCGTCTATAGTGTAACGACGTAATGCAAAATATTCAAAAAGCTTCTAACACGCAATGTTTAATCCATATACTTAACATTTAATCTATAATATTTAATAAGAATGGTCAATTCATAACGTCAATAATTTCACTGGTCTGCCGTGATATGTGGCGGTACTGTAATTCATAGGAATAATTTCTATTGTTATCCGGAGAAGTCACGTGGCACATGACTACGGCTACTCCAAATTAGGGTAACCCGGCCCACCCAGGCTATTTCGGCTACTTAGGACACGAAGGCCATGTCGGATAATTAGGAGTTGGGAACGAAGTAATAGAATTAGCAGTTGTAGTAGACGTAGAATGTCAAATGTAAATAAAGAATTTTAAGATAAATAAAGGCCATGAATGCCCTAAGGGAAAGGGGAAAAAAAAAGAGACCCGAACTTCGCTTTATTAAAAACAATATCTGTCCCCTTACATAATAATGAATACATAAACGTCTCCTTTATTACATTAACTAATCCTAAATCCCTGACCATAAAAACCCGCTTCTTGCATTGTCTATTCTATCTCAAGGTATTGTTACATTCCCGTCCGGCTGTTGTATCTTAAAGTACCAGGATCAGCCGTGGTTATACCGTCCAATTATTCCGAAGGATTGAGGATAGTTGAGGTTATACGTGTCGTTCAATTACCCGAAGTAGTGAGGTAATTGAGAATATAGTTAGTAGAAGTTTCAAGAAAGGGAAACCCAAGACGAGTAAAGAAAAAATACTTACCTACGGCCCCAAACCATCGACCAAATCTAAACGCCTCTCTCCGACTAAGTCAACACGAGATTTTGGATTGTGGAGCGACTGACTCGCCGTTTCGCCCGTTTTCACTACATTCTATTTTTCTAATAATTCTTTTTGAAAAATTTTACTTTCTATATTTTCTAATATTATTTCATAATTAGAATTTATACACTAAAACTGTTAAATACCACAATATTTATTTTGATATTTTTTAATATCGTTTAAACCTTAATTGAAAGTAAAATCCCATATCCAATTAACTACACGATGCAAATATCAATTTATACACTTTGTCTTATATAAGTTTCTGTTTATGTTTCAAAAAAATGTCTTTCATTATATCGTTAGAGCGTGTCATTCAAATTATTATTTTTAAGGTTCTCAGATAATAATTTTAAATTTATGTTGTAAAATGAGTTTTTTTTGGATAAAACAATAAGCCTAAATTTTTTTAAAATTAAAGGTCAGCAATCATGAACACAAGTGTGTTCATTTATGAACTCCTAATAAAGAAATTAAGATTATTTTTATGGTTCAATAAAAACTATATTAATTTTTGGCATCAAACTAAAATACAATCTTTCTTTATCTCATTTTTAACCATGAACAAAACTGGCGCAGAACTTTATAACAAGGGTGAGCAATATTGGTATGGTAATGGAGTTGAAAAGAACTTGCGTAAAGCCTTCGAATACTATCAGAAATCTGCAAAGATGGGATATGCAAATGCAATTTACGATGTTGGATATTGTTATGAAAGTGGAATTGGAGTTGAAAAGGATGAACATAAGGCATTCATTTATTATCAAAAATTTGCAGAGATGGGGAACGCTAAAGGAATAAATACGCTTGGTGTCTGTTATGACAATGGAAGTGGAGTCGAAAAGGATGAACAAAAGGCATTCATTTATTATCAAAAATCTGCAAAGATGGGACACACCCAAGGAACAAATAATGTTGGATATTGTTATCAACAAGGAATTGGAGTTGAAAAGGATGAAAACAAAGCATTCAATTATATTCAAAAATCTGCTGATATGGGTGATGTTAATGGAATATTTAAACTTGGCTATTTTTATGAAAATGGAATTGGAGTTGAAAAAGATGAACACAAAGCATTCATTTATTATCAAAAAGCTGATAATATGGGAGATATGGTGGGAACATATAATCTTGGATGTTGTTATAATAATGGAACTGGAGTTGAAATAAATTTGAAAAAAGCTTTTGAATTGTATCTGAAATCAGCTAAAATGGGTTATGCCGATGGAATGGAACGCGCTGGTTATTGTTATAGAAACGGAGTCGGAACAAAAAAGGATCTAAAGGAAGCCGAATATTGGTTTAAAATGTATGTCCTTTTTTTTAATTCTTATATAAAAAATCTTAAAAATAATAATAAAATTTTAAAAATAGGGAAAGAAACAAGATTCAAGGTAATAATATTGTAGTTTTTTTAAATTTATTTTTATATTTAATCGTTTAATTTAATTTCAAGCAGAAATAGAGAAATTCTCTTATTCTGGTATCGATGATAATGTTAAAAAAATATTGAATGATGAGAAGTATCAATTATTATGGATCCCATATGATAAATTTAAAAGTATTAAGGAGGTTGGAAAAGGAGGATTCGCAACCGTTTATCGTGCCAATTGCCGAATTTATTATAAGGATTCCTACACTAATTATTCTTTTGCATTTAAAATAATTCATGATCAGGGTTTTTTTGATGAGGTAAATTTATTGAGTTTGTTTTATATTTAAATTTTATGATTAATGTTTTCTTTTTTGAAGTTGAAAGCATTTTGCGAGATCGGATATAAAAATCCATCGTTCTTAAGGTGCTACGGGTTATCGAGAGATGATTCAGGAAATTACATTCTTATTTTGCAATATGCAAACAAGGGTTCTTTACGTAATAATCTTTGCGAAGTATCACAAATGAAATGGAAAGAAAAATTAAACTTATTAAGTTGCATAACATCTGATCTTGAAGCAATTCATTCACAAGGATATGTTCACAAAGATTTGCATAGTGGTAACATCTTACAAGACGATTTGGATAATGCATATATCGTGGATTTAGGTCTTACATCGCCTGCTAAAAACGATAACGAAATTGTTGGAATTTTACCTTATATTGCACCAGAGGTTTTATCAGGTCAATCATTTACACAAGCAGCAGATATCTATTCGTTGGGTATAATCATGTGGGAAATATTAACAGGAGAAAAAATTTTCGATGGTTACGAGTTTGATGATGGTTTAGCAATAAAGATTTGTGAAGGATTGCGACCAGAATTCGCACCTGGGACTCCAGAATGTTACGTTGAATTAACTAAACAATGTATGGACTCCGATCCAAAAGGAAGACTTACTGGTATATATATTAATGCGTTAATTACTACTTGGATTGAAGAACTTGCGCATGGAAACAACAAAAGAAAAATTAAAAAGCAATTCTTAGAAGCAGATAAGCAATTCTTAAAAGCCGAAAAGATGGTTAAAAAATTACCAAGTAACTTACGAGAATATCAAGATCATACTATGTACATTTCAAAGCCCATTAACACGCAAGATATCACGAAAAAATTGGCAAAAATGGCAATTGTCAGCGCTCCGATAGATAACGTGGAAATTCCGGAAGAGTGACATTGCGAGTTAATTATATTAAAATCAATTCAACAAAAAAGATCTTAATATCACTGTATTATGGAATAAATCAAACATTTTAAAAATAAATTATAAAAATTATGTAACATGTTTTAAAACCTTTTGTAGAATTATTTAATGGTGGTTTAGGTTGTTGGCCATGGTAATAGATTTGGTGAATTAATTTAGCCGAAAAAAAAATGGATTAAATATTATAATCATCAATGTACGATGTAAACCAAATACAATAAAATCTCCATAAGTGCACGCTCTTGTGACCGAGCTTTAACGACGCGCACTTAGAGAACAATAAGTAAAAGTGTAATTATGAGGTCATGTAAACTTCTATAGGTGTACGCTCTTGGGATCAAACTTTAACAGCATGCACTTAGAGAACAATAAGAAAAAATGCATTCGTAGAGATCATGTATATTTAGGCCCGAATCTAAGCGTACATTTTGAGAGGGTGTGCACTTATAGAAGGAGGTTTTACTATATATTGTTACATGCAAAATCGAAACCTCAATACCACGATACTCATGACTCAGAATAATCGAATGTCGACCTCCTGTGGCAAATCAGTTAGACCATTAAGTGACAGCGCCGATCCCATTGAGAAAAAGCCACCTGCCCCGATTTGGAAGACATATGTCAAGGTAATATTACCTTGACAGGTAAAGTTTGTGGCCGTGTAAATGCGTCGTCATATGCTGGGTTGTGGGAGGAGTAAAAATTCAATGAAAAATGCTAATAGAACGACGGCTGGGGTATGGAAAAAGGTAAAAAAGGGTAAAACGGCTTATGTCAATGAGAAAAAGGTGTCAAAACCGTATTCAAATTCCCCTTCTTTTTCCCTTGTAATTTTCTTATAATTACGGTCGAGTTTTCTGTGTAATTTCCACCCTACATAATTAATTTCATTAATAAAGTTAACCCACTGAATAATAAAACGTTCTTTTAAAGACTCTGTCATTACCTGGTAACGTTCTCAAAAGCCGCCTTAACCTGTGCCAAATCGTAATCGTCTCGCCCAAGCTTTTGAGTTACGTTACACGGCAGCAACGAATTCGTAGCGACAATTCGTCACATTTTCTCCATCTGCACTTCCGAACATCCGCCTCTGATAATATGTATAGTCTCGAATATCGATATATAATTTTTTCGTGTAACGATCACGATAGTAAAATACTAGAATTTCGAACAAAAATTGTAAATATTATTAAAATTTTCTAAAATAATAAAAAAATCTCTCTTTTTAGTTTAAAATATAGGTCTTATTGAGTAATTTTTTAACCAATTTAATATGTAAGTCATGAAGGAGATACAATTTGAAATCTGATAATTTTTTATAATCGTTTCATATAAGATTTTTATAAACTTTGAATCTTTTCTATAAATTACAAATTAACTAGTTTGAAAATTTTGCTGATTCCTCTGCAGTACCTATAAAAGAGAGTTTTTTTAAAAAAAAATTTTTTTATTAAAATCTTATTTATATTTATTGAAATAATCTATTTGTCGCCGGCAGTGGCTGTACCGGATTTTATAGTTGTATTTAGGGATAGAAAGATAGTATAATAAAATTGGACCATGAATATTTTTTGTTAAGACACTAAAGTTGATTTATTATAATAGGCATAATTTTGAATTATTTTGATTGGAAATTTTTGAGATTTTTGTAACTGCCGGCGACAAATAGATTCGCACATACAGTATTTTTTTTGGATTCGTATTATTTCACTGACAATCATTTCACCGACAGCTCATTTAGCCGACATCACCAAGCAACAATTTACTAAAAATATATACTAGCGACTAATAAAATGCTAATCCTAACCATGTGATGTCGGTGATTAAGAAAATGTTAGTCCTAACCATGTGATGTCGGTTAAATGAGCTGTTGGTGAAATGATTGTTTGCGAAATAAACGTCACCAGTATTTTTTTTTTCTACTGTATACATAAATTTGATCTACATAGTGCACTGGATACAAGACTTGTATATCACCCGAAATAACCAATAAACACCAAATTTCTGATCACCATAATACTTGAATATCTCAAAATCATATTTTTTTTTGACTTTCTACTACAAAGGTCCCCACGCTTTATTTGTTTTTAACTTTATTTAGCTAATAATTAATTTAAGTAGTGTTTCATTAATGATTTTTTATGAAGATTAAGTGTATCGATTATATATAAACGGTTTCCTTTCTTTGAAGCAAAATCAGGTATAGTCTAATTAAAGCTACATATGAGTGTTGATAAAACTAATTAGAATTTAAGAGGTATTCATATGACTATAGATCAATACAAAAAAGAAAAAACGAAAAAAAGATTAAAATTAAATTAGAAACTGAAACTGTAACTATTTCATAAGAATTCAACGATTCAATTTTGTTTTTGCCACATGATAATGTGGAGGATTTTTATTGGTTGATATATTAAAAAATAAAAATTTTGATTTTCGCTTTGCTGACCTGCCCAGGATATGAAACAGTATATAAATTTCCATGACTTAATAAAAAATTTTTTATGATATACTGTATATATCTATTAACATATCAGTTATCTATCAGTTTACATAATATCAGCCTAGTATCAACCTATCTGGTATTATAAAGATAGGCTGATAAGATTTTTAACTTGAACTTGTGTAAAAAAAATACTCCAGATAACCAATCTTTTATTGTTATTTAATAAATTATAAACAAAGTTAATGTATTTTTACTCTATAAACTATAATTGAATTGAATGTAATATTACTTAAACGACATATTTCTTAGGTAACTTGTTTGACAACCTATTTATAACTTAGACTTTGATAATCAATTGAAGTAATTATTAACAACTATGAACAGAAACAACCTCACGAGATTTATTCTCGGTAGAGATTGTACTAGAATTATTGCTATAGCTGACATTTCTATTGTTAATATTGATATAGGTTGTGGAATTATTGCAATAATCTAAATTTTCACTTTTAATATTGCTAATGGATGAGGAATCATCACCCTTATCTTTATGACGAAAACCTTCATTTATTATAAAAAATATTGTATTTCCAATTGACTACAACAAATTAATAAGGAGATGAATAAGATGAATAAGGAGATGAATAAGGAGATGAATAAGGAGATGAATAAGGGGTGTGTGATTAAATTATTGGAGAAAAGATAAATAGAATTCACTCACCCCTATGTTAGTTGAAATAATAGCCATACAATAAACCCAAGGTTGGGCTACTCCCAATAATTGATATATATCATAAAATGTGACAGGAATCTAAAAAAAAAAGCATTTAAATTAATAAAAGTAAACAATTAAGATAAAAAGTAAAATTACCTACCCATTGTATCATAAACACAAGTATGTATCCCATAACTTTTATGATGACCTTAATTTCAACAGCATTTATAGGATGTTTTGAAGTATTTCGATCTTCAATATATGATAAATGTTGTTTTTTGATGGCGTGTATTTCTTGAATGGTTTTTATGTAACAAAATAGGCAAATGACGAATACGACGATTGTCATAACAATAGAAGATATCGGTGTTATCAATGTTTTTGGTTTTGCAGCACACCTATTGAATAGAAATTCTTAACATTATTATTGCTAATATATACGTTAGGTCGTTCAAAAGCTAATTAATTTCAAAAATTAAAAGCCCCAATCACAACGTTTGATGATCTTCACAAATCACATGATTAAATTTAGTCAGTGATCTTTAATGCAAAAATCCTCCCACGTTGAGCACGTTAACCAACTAATTAAATTTACGACCTTTAATGAGAAATAAAAATGAAACTATAATTTAATTTGTACCAATATACAACAGAGCCATAATTTGCTAAATTAATAGCAGCAACTAATGATCCTCCTATGGCCGAAGGTAAAAACAATTTCCAATCATATTTACCAGTATCATACCATTTTTGCTTACATATTCTAAAACAATGAATTTTTTTAGTTTTAAATCTTTTATATATTTGATTTATAGATTTAAAAAATATTTACCTGTAATATGTAATTATAGAAATACCAGCGGCAATTAATCTATGAAAGTGTGTAAATGCAATTGTTGAAACAGCAACACCTTGGCAGGCTAGACCAGACAACGTAGTATGGTGTATTGCAACATATGTCTAATTAAAGTAGTTTTTATCATTTTACACAAATTATTTTGGATTATATTAACGTTATGAAGATGTAACTTACATAATTAAGACCTTGGAAAATTATGAAAAATATATCTACGTATTATTGAAGTTCAAAATAGTTAAATTATTTGGACGATCAAAAGGAAGTACAACAAATTGTAACAAAACGGACAATTGTGAGACAAGATTCAATAAAAAAACTTACCTAACATGCCAAGGTAAAAGGGTACTCTAAGGGCCAGCGATAAAGATTTACGCTTATTCACCCACCTATAATAAATTCTATTGAGCAAAAACAAAATTGAAGCTGCGGAGAGGAATATACAGACGTGTCCAGTTATGACTACACTTAGGAATCCAACTGGGTCTTCTATTAAAAGGTATAAATGTAAGCAAAAATATAGAAATGAATTATATAAAATTTAATTTACCATTGTAAAGGTCTGTAGTAGTATTATTTTGAGTATTTGTAGTATTATTATTTTGAGTATTTGTATTATTTTGAGCATTTGTAGTACTATTATTTTGAGCATTTACTAATTCATGAGATATCGAACTTATTATTAAAAGTTTCAGGAAATATTTTGAATATTTTGGTGATAACATGAATAATACGATTGTTACTATACGACTTGTGACAGATAAAAGAATTAGTCAAGAGATAATTTTTAGAGAAAAAAGGAAAAATATTAAGACCTTACATTATATTATAATTTATTACGCCGTAGTTAAATGCGAATAATGAATAACAAAAACCATAAGGTGAATTGGAAATAATAACTAAAAGCCTATTTATATAGACATTTACATTCAGGAAGTTTAGTTGAACCAAATAATACGTTTACTTGTTTATTGGTTGCAAGATCCACTAGTGGATTACATTAAGTTACGCATCGAACCTAATTTAAATTCATCATAGAATTTCAATTTCTATTGATCATAACCTGACATTAGATAATGCATTAACAAAATATTAGTCAAAATGCATGCTTTAATTATTAAAGTTAAGGCAATACTATTTACGAATCTTTGTTTATCCGTCTGATTAATAATCCTAATTAAAGACTTTGATTTTCGACCTAATTTCACGAACCTTGCATTCATGTAATGTATTTTATTTGACACTTTATATTTATCGAATTTTGTCGTTACCAATACAGGCAGGAATTAGTCTGATTGTCCGATGTACGAATAATTTTAGTTTTTTTTTTTTTTTTTAAGAACGAACCATTATATAAATAACCAATTATCACAAACATTATTTTTAGTTTTAAGAAATTGTCAGAAAAAATAATTTCAATAACGATTTTTTTTGAACTAAAACTATCTGAATTTTAAGTTAATAGAATAAAACGTCTCTTATAAAAATAACTATATTACTTTTAGAAATTAAGTCTTGAGTGGAATTCGTGAGACCTGACATATTAATGTTTAGGATAAATTTTAACGTTAATTCTTAAGTGTGTGTGTAGATCTATTAACCAAAATAGGATAATCACCATATTATAATACTCCATTCAGTCAATATACGTACCTTCCAGATATATATTTATCACATGTAACTACTTCCCACTTTCCTAGTAACATTGTTTAGCTTAACTTATTTGATTTGTTAATACAGTACTCGATGAGTAGATCTACAACAATTAACCAATAAGATAATCCTAATATAAATTTAATCGTCGGGATTATTTTAAATCTGCACCAACAGTTGGAACGCAAATAAATTACGGTTGTTAAAGCACTAAGTGAGATCGTAACTACAGCATCATAATGATTCTAACGCTAATACTATTAAATCGTTATCACAGTTATCATAACTGACGTTAGAACATTATCGACTCGGTCATTAAAATTGACAAATCAAATCATATTTCAGTTTATTTGCATGTTAATCGAATTGTTGATCCATTATAATGTATCCAAAATAGGATACCTTGACAAGGTTCGTCCCTTTCTGAAATCCGAACCAATTAAATATAAGTTGTTATTCATGTGAGTTTACTTATGCAAAACAATTTTCCAGGACAGGGACCGGAAAAATATCTAATTTGATGTAACGTAACATGATTAAAACAACGTTCATTTTTGAGAAAATTGGTTGTTTTCCGAAAGTTAGCATAAGAAACTACCTTCTGCGCTCTAATAAAAAAATTTCCTTGCCAAATTTTACCATATTAACCACTTTAAATATTGTCCCTCATACTAACCCTAATCCTGCATAAATAAACTTGAAATAATTTTATCACATATCATGTGAACGTGAAATTTTGGTGATTGTACTTCACAAATCAATCTTTCAAAAAAAAGCTTCATAGTATGATCTTTTATTAAATAAACACATGACTTTTTTTCAGTAAATTTGTTGCTTTCAGAAAATGATTCGTATATTTTGACATTGTAAAAAACTTTAATTGGTTAGTCTGTTTCATAAAATGAACAAAGCGAACGAGGAACTTTATTAATGCAATCAAACGTGCATTGATATCTATAAATAATTCACAAAATGCTATACATAAATATAAATTCCTTTTATATTAACATAATCAGACAAGCATAACTAATAGTACGTGTTTATCTGACATGTCCAACGTGAACACCAAACGTTTTTGTGTTAGTTATCCGGCCATCTCCTATTACGAATCCGCCTTATTTCACTGACGCTCATTCGTACACAAACTTCAAAAGCATCAATAATCGAGGGCGCAGTCACATGATTTTCCGACCTATGACCTTATTCAAGATAAATGCTGAATAAGACAAACTTTCAACTTTAACTTATTTTACGAATTGTAAAACATGATGTTGATTTCGAATGATATTGATATCAGTCATGATTTTCAAATGTTATAGGGAAAACTTTCTAAAGCAAGAAAAGTTAAACAACAACCAATACCAATTAATCATGTACTAAACTTTAGCAAAACAAGATCAGTAAAAAGTACCCAAAGAACTTAATGAAATCTTTATTTTTAAAATGATCTTAACTTTAACGTTTTCAAAACGGGTGTCAATAGGGGGCTTCAAAGTTAACAATAAGTGGCGCATTTGAAATTAAATAAAAGTTGGAAAAATCTTTTTTTTTAGTTCAAAATTTAAAATCAGAAAAAAAAATGAAATGGAAATCCACATTTAACGAAATAAATAGACTTTTCAACGACAAAATCCATTTAAAAATAAATACATCATCTATTTCTGTTGAAATCAGATTCCCGCACGTTAACTTTGAAACCCCTAATATAACTATTTAACATCGATTAGTTGAAATGTAAAAGTTATAAAAGTGTATGTAACGAAAATCGCTTATGACTAGAGATCGGGTTCATGCGCATTTTATCCCAAGAATTATCTCCTCTCAATCGTTTTTTCTTCTTTTTGCCTTTTTTTATAATGCGATACATGTGCATGAAACATTTCGTGCGCATTAATGCGCATTCATGCGTATGTTATCATAATATGCACATTTTTCCCATCACTGCTCATGACATAAAAATATTAACGCTTAGAGAATTTCTATACACGACCTAAATTAAAACGAAGGGCCAATTACATACTGTTGGGTTCAGAAGATTGCGACTCTGTCGCTCCAAAATTCTAAACCTCGTGTAACGTACGACAAGTAACCTTTTCGAAAGAGGGTGT